GCAGGACGCAGGCCAGAGCGTCCCTGGTTGCTAACAACCGGGCAGGGAGATGTGTATGGGAGAGGCAAAAGGTCATCAGCCTCCATGGGTCGGCAAACTTTTGCTGACCCACAGATTGGCACCCAGGGCATGTGCCATTAGGGTTGCCACCTTTTCTTCCAGCGGAACCCGAACACACTAGCGACGTATGGAAATTTGTGGGGGAGAATCAGTGGTGGCTTATTCATATGTAAATAGTGTCACCCCTTCATATGTAAATATCACAGTCAAGACTAGATAGGGGCAGTAGCCCCTATCTTAATTTTGGTTGCCCCTGCCTGCCTGACATCATGTGTCCGGGTTTCAGCTGCCATGAGACCCGGACACAGCATTCAAAACCCGGACTGTCCGGGTGAATCCTGGACAGGTGGCAACCCTATGTGCCATATACGCTGGATACACCACTGTATGTTCAGCACCCTGCTGCCCAGCCATTGCCTGTCTGCATTGCATAGAGTAGCACAGGACCTATTGATGGTATCATTGGGTCTAAAAATGATGTATGTAATGGAAATGAAAGGTTTTATATAAACATGTAATAAAATGTTGGGGGGTCGGGGGCAGGGAAGACAAAATATAAGCAAATCAAACATCAGCTTTAACTCTTTTGCATTAATTGCCAATCACACATTTAAAGGGGACCTGTCATGAGAGAAACAGAAGCACTGCCATCACTGACCTCACCTAAAGATTCAGGCACCTCTTCCAGACAGCATAGCGCAGCCCTCCACCTTCACTTCAATTAAAGTGACTACACAAATCTACATGGATAAGTTCCCGACACGTCACAATATAGATTTATTAAACCTTGTCATCATTACAAGGTAGTCATTGTGCTCCAATCATATGACTTTGCCTGGGCTGAGATGATGTCATCGGGCTGCTGCAGGCAGGAGGGAGCATTTCCTCTCTTTCAGTAATCACATTCCAACATGGTCATTTTGTAGCCAGTCACAAGGTGAGAGGCTGCAGCAGTGGGCTGATCATGTGTCAGACATGTGATAACACAGCTAAGAACATCACAGGCATCAGGATTTACATGATGGTAACTTCTTGGGGTCAGAATCTCAGTCTAGGAAGCAGATGCTGTGCCTGGATGATGCCTGAGCAAAGATGGTGCCAGGCTTTTGGAGGGAAGATAGCAGATGAAGGCATGGAGGAGTCCTGTGATCTCAGTGAGAGGTCATACACCTACACAATGCTAAGCATACGTGCAGGTAACATACAAATATTTCATGCCAAGTTTACTGTTACTGAGCTCTGAGATCAGCAAATGTTGTCTAAATACAAGGAGGTGTGTGAGCTTCGTGTGTTTCTTCCAGATCTGTGCAGTAATCCAGTGTGACACTTCCTGTAATAAGGACCGCTCTTGTCTGTGCCCTTTCCCTGTAGTAAAGCCCGGTCACTGCTGCTCTCTGTCCTTGTGCAGGGTGACTGGTATTGTCTCCGCCCCCTCCCATAATAAAGACCACTCACTGCTGCTCTCTGTCCTTGTGCAGGGTGACTGGTCTTGTCTCCGCCCCCTCCTATAATACAGACCAGTCACTGCTGCTCTCTCTCCTTGTGCAGGATGACTGATCTTGTATCTGACCCCTCCTGTGGTTTTATGCAGGCAGACTGTAGTGGGTGGAGCCTTCTAGGTCACTCCCACAGCTCTGTTCTCTGCACAGGCTATGCAGCACAATGATGATGTCACTGTTACCTTTACAAGGTAACAACTGGATTTGCAAAAACATTTGACGCCCTAAAAGTGGATGTATTTTGTGGCCACAGAGGAATATGTTTAAGTGAAAGTTTTTGTGTCTGGAGTTCCAGGACATGTCCCCCCCCTACAGTCTCCTTATTGGACAATGAAGAATCACCAGCACACTAGTGACTCGTCACTATGTTCTGTCTGCTCTCCCCTCCTGTCAGTATGTTCCCAGTATTAGACTGACAGCATTGTGCAGAACAGAATGCTGCCATTTTTCTCCCAGTGTGAATCCTGCTGTGGAAATTATTACAGGAGGCTGGTACAAAGACACATTCAGGCATTTACATTACATTTGCATTACAAGATATCATTTTAGGGTGTTATTCACACAGGAGCTGAAGGCAATGTGCCTACTCCAGGAGAGTCAATTCCCCAGCACAGCCCCTCCCTCTTTGTATGTCACAGCCTTCCCGTTCTAATTACTGTCTGTGCTGGCCCAGCTCCTCTCACCTCCATACATAACCTTTTATGTAGCTGCCAGGGGTAGATGAGTTGCTTATCTAACAGGAGAATCAGCCTGCTGCAGTGGTTACAAAGCACAGCCATAGTCTCCTGAGTCTGGGAATACTATGTACAAAGTAATAACACTCGCTGTATCCCTGATAGAAATCACACACAAGGACACCCCATGGTAAGGGTGTCCCCCCCCGTGGTCAGTATGTGGAGCTGCTCCTGCTCTCCCCATACACAGACCAGGGTAGACCAGGGGTAGACAACCTTGGCACTCCAGCTGTTGAGGAACTACAGGTCCCATGAGGCATTGCAAGCCCCATGTACCATGACAGCCACATGGCTCCCAGTTTCACCACAGCTGGAGTACCGAGGTTGCCTACCCCTGGGGTAGACGCACCTCCATGTTAACAAGACCAATTTTGTCATTTCGCATTCGGGAAGCCCACTGACTTGCATTAGGAATGGGCTTCCTTAACACAACGCATGTTAACAGGTGTGCATTACCTTGCCGCAACCAAAGTGTGAACGGGCCCTAAAACATGTCTGGCGTTCTTCATCTCCATTACAAGGTGGATTGATGGGATTAGTGGTTCACACAGGAAAGCTGAGGATGTTTGTGCTTTCTTTGAACCGCTTCCCACCGTCGTGACACATATATAGATCAGCACGGCGGGTGGGTAAGCTGTTCTGAGACTAGGCGCCAGCTCAATCCTGCTCTGTAGCGTGGATGGGGTGGAATCAATTAGTTGTTCTCATTCAGCCCCATGTTAGCGTGTTGGGGTACCACTCAGACACACCTTCAATGCACTTAGAATTTGAGCGCTCCTAAGGTCTCCTCAGATAGAAGCCAAAACTTTGGGGGGGGGTTTGTTTTGGATGGAGTAGAGAGGCATTAGAACCCTTGCCGGGTTTTATTTCTGTCTGTGTCCCCGTTAGGGAGATTCACCGTCTGTATTTGTCCTGATGAGTGTTATCACTGGGAGTGAAGGGAAATCCCAAATTTTGGGTTGTCACCAGAACAGGAATAGATGGAAATCCTTTAATGGGTGACCACCAGGGATTTCCCTTCCCTCACCTCTTGTTGTTGCTATTGGGCAGGAAGTGAAGGGAAATCTCCCCAATGGGACACAGATGACAAAAAAGTTATATCCCCCCTTACTCTATCCAAAACTAAAAATGTTTTGGCTTCAACGCTATATTACCGTGGAACTGAACTCAAAAAGTAAAGATTTGCTATGTTATAGGGATATTTTAGACTTGCTGATTGGGCCTAGGCCGTACCCGGAAGATGTACCCTTGTCTGGAATTACCAATGCACTTCCTGTTATGTAGGAGTGCCTAGGCCAAGGGTGCTCAACTCCAGCCCACCAGCAGTGCTTTAACTATGCCCCATGGGACTTGTAGATCCACAACAGCTGGAGGACCGGTGTTGTCTTCCCCTGGCCTGGGCACTCCTGTCCCTACAGCCTCATAGCTCCATATCTGTTGTGTGAGATCCAAGGCACTGCTGCCTCAAGCAACAGTGAGCGGTCTTTAGTACAGGAGGAGGTGGAGGCAAGACCAGTCAACATGCACAAGGAGAGAGAGCAGAAATTACTGTTTTGTTTTTTTTACAGGAGAGGGCGGAGACAAGACCAGTCACCCTGCACCTAGAGAGAGAGAGCAGCAGTGAGCAGTCTTTAATATAGAAGGGGCGGAGACAAGACCAGTCACCCTGCACAAGGAAATAGCAGCATTGACTGGTCTTTTTTACAGGAGGGGGGCAGACAAGACCAGTCACTCTGCACAAAGAAAGAGAGCAGCAGTGATCGGTCTGTATTACAGGAGGGGCAGAGACAAGACCAGTCACCCTGCACAAGAACAGAGAGCAGCAGTGACCGGTCTGTATTATAGGAGGGAGTGGAGACAAGACCAGTAACCCTGAACAAGGAGAGAGAGCAGCAGTAACCGGTCTTTATTACAGGAAGAGGCGGAGACAAGACCAGTCACTGTGCACATGGAGAGAGAGCAGCAGTGGGTGGTCTTTATCTTGTATATCTTATTCTCCATAAACTAACTTTACTGGCAGCAACCAAAACACAAATTAACACGTTCCCGCTGTAAATGACGCTTTACGATTGTCATTTTTATGTAAGGATACCAAACATGTAGGATTTCTATGGAACGTCCTTAACCTCAGTATTGATTCCACATTCATCCTGACAGTAAATCTCACTTAACACTACATGAGCAACAAATCAGCCCACTGCAAGGCCATGCATCATCTGTCATCATCGTCCTCATCTACAACAACAACAATAATAATAATAAACATCACTCAGCCTTTCCCATATATATATAGTCAGTACTCATGTAACTCTGTAATCATTGTCAATACCACCCACTGGTACAGAGCAGAACTTGTGATAATGATGATGGAGGGACACTTATAGGTGATAATGATGATGTATGGGTGATGTACTGTGACACTGATCGCCATACACCATGGAACAATGTGACACCAATCATCATCACAATGGCACTTCTAAAGATGGCACATGTGAGTCCCAGGCACAGATTCATTCATTCTCTATGACACTGGCACGGCGATGACATTGACTCCCTATGACTGTCACTGTGTTTCCGCTGTCATCACCCACAAAGTGTCACAGCGATGATGATGTGATACAATGTAACAACACAGATGGTGATAGGGATCCGGCGGTGCGGGCAACACACTCATCAAACACAGGAGAAGGGGGCAGAGGGGGCTCACCTATCCCGGCCCCTGGCTCCGGAGAGGGGGGAGGGGGAGATCCTCCGCTCGGTCCCGGGATCTCACTGCGGGATCACACCCGGAACTGCCGCACTCTCCTTAAAGGCAATGGAGCAAAGTGCAGCAGTGTGCCGACTGAAATTACCAAGCGTCGCCGCTAGATGGCGGTGCGGCCACAACAAAGCCGCCTACAGGCAGAGTCAGCGTGTAGCTCTGTGTATGAAGTCAGACTCATGTGACCTTACTGTATATACTAGAATGGTACTACAGCCATAGTCTATACCTGATATAATTGGGAAATTATTCTGGTTAAGCCGTATTAGTCCAGTAGACAGGACGTCAGAAAAAAACCTAGACGTAGTATTGCAGTGTGCAATGATACCTTTCTTATTGGACTAACAAAGTATATAAAAGACAAGCTTTCGAGAGTGAACCTCTCTTCTTCAGGTCAAAAGCAATGAGGTTCACTCTCGAAAGCTTGTCTTTTATATACTTTGTTAGTCCAATAAGAAAGGTATCATTGCACACACAGACACACACGGCTTGAAAAATGTTAGGGTGTCTCACCAGTCAGTAAAAAAATTAACCAGTCAGCATGACCAGACTATAGGTGTCAAAAAACCTTATTAGTGAACTATAATAAACCTTTTAAACTGGATACAAATTAAAAAATTAGGATGCTCCAGTTATTAAAAATGATTAAATAAAGAGCACATGAAGTGAATAAATCACAGTGAAAGGCACAATAACCAAAAGTTAATCGTGAATATCATAAATCAAAATAATGTATGTTTTTAATAAAAGTTAAAGCTTGCTTCACTATGAGGAGTCCCTATTGACCCCTTTTATTGTATGGGGAACAACATCCTGAGAGCATCTGGAGGAATACCGCGGAGAGAGCGTTCCAATACCTGCCTAAAACTGTCCATAAAGTGAAATAAAAATCATTCTTGCGGTGAGTGTGCATTACCCCAGGGGGGTCACGCGTGCCACAATTGGAGGATCGTTTTTGTCACCAGTACTGCACCTAAGGATGTGAAGACCTTCTTTGAAGGAAACACAAACATCATTTTATGTTTTTACTTTCACTATAAGAAAAACTGTTTTGACTATAAGGATTGAGGTCACTCACGTCTGTCACATTGGACATTTTTTGATTGGATTGCACTCTAAATATTTTCTGTTTGAATGCTTTACACATATGTTTATGGTCTATGATATTCACGGTTGTGCCATTTATTGTGGCTTATTCGCAAAAAAATTTGGTAGTTTAGATATCCAGACTGGACTGCACTATGAATACCTTTATTAAATGTTTTTCATAATTGTGATTTATGATATTCACGGTTAACTTTTGGTTATTGTGCCTTTCACTGTGATTTATTCACTTCATGTGCTCTTTATTTAATCATTTTTAATAACTGGAGCATCCTAATTTTTTAATTTGTATCCAGTTTAAAAGGTTTATTATAGTTCACTAATAAGGTTTTTGACACACCTACTTTTTCACAATTTTTATCACTGCACATGTCATTCAGTCTATACAATCCAAGGGGATTTAGTGCCGCATTTTCATTGTGATCACTTTTAGGGCTTACTGTCTTGACTGTGGCAGCTTTATTTTCCCATATTATGAATTAAAGTGACATTAAACCCTCAGATTTTTTAACATAAACCTATACTGTAATGTGCGCCTTACTGTAATCCATGGTAGTTTCCCTTCTCTTTGCTGCTCTTCCTTTTAAATCCTCATGTCTTCTCATGCTTGGGGAGAACTTCCCTTTTCAGCTCAGGGCCTCTTCCTGTAGTGCTGGCTCAGGTTACAAGCCTATACAAACCTATACACAGACACCGTGTATCCATTCCTGAGACAAGGCAGTCTGCTGCAAAACAGAAGTTCTGCCCAGCATGAGAACAGATACAAATTTAAAAGGAAGAGCAGCAAAGAGAAGGGAAACAACCATGGATTACAGTAAGGCGCACATCACAGTATTGTTTTATGTTAAAAAATCTGAGGGTTTAATGTCACTTTAACTATCCACTAGTGCAGATCAACATCTTTTCATGACCAGACATTTTTAGGGACACATAGAGCTTTCTTTTGGTGGTACATAATTACCACTGGGGGGGTTATTTTTTATTACATAATGAAAAAAAGTATCGTAAATTTCTAAAACAAATAAAGTTTTCCCTACGTTATGTTAAAAAACATTTATTCTTACCCATATTTCGGGGTCACGTCGGGTAAATAGATACCAAATATTTCAAGCTTTAAAATTGTGCGCGCCCGCAAATCGCAAAAAACTACCACACCGAAAATTGGCAATAGGCGTCGCTTAAAATGCTTTTACTGCTCATCAGTTTAGTGTTATCAGTAATTAATGGCCCTAAAATTATTGCTCTCACTGCGACATTTGCGGTGATATGTAACATGTGCGGCACAATAGGCGCAGTCGTCGTTTTCGCACGTAGGCGCACCCGACACATGTTTGTATGTGTATGTGGGGGGCGGGGGACTTAAACAAAAATTAGTGTTTTTTAAATTTATTTTTTATACTTTAATTTTTTTTGTTATGATTCTTTAATTTTTGTATTACTCTTTTTTTTTTTACACTTAACATTATTGCTATCACATAGGGTGTTAAGAAGTACCCTATGTGATAACAAATTACAGTGACAGGGCCCCTTTATGGAGATTTGATGGTAATATTATAATTAATTAATAAATAAGTAAAATAATTATTATAATAATTCCTTCACCTAGTGATTCTGCCAGTGACACACTTCTTGTCCTCGGGTTATAACGATCACTCACTCTACTGTACCAGGACTACTGAAACTTTCCAGGCTAGTCTTCTTCATAACATAGAAGGGGAGGGTCTTGTAGTTCTCAGTAGTGATAAGTGAACTGGCCTGGGTTTGGTTCGCTTGGATGTTTACTAAACCCAGCCAGAAATCCAGGTTCAGGGAACGTCCAAGTAAACCAAACCCAGGGCCCCCTGTGTCCTAGCAACCAATGATGCTGTGTGACCTGCACAGAGTCATATGTTGCTAGGACACTAGCAACTGGGCTCCACAGTGGCATTGGTTGCTAGGACGCAGGCGGGTGCAGCATAAGAACCAATAACAATATAAAGCCAACAGCATCTTAGCAACGTATGTGGACCGCACAGCGTCAATGGTTGCTAAGATGTTGATGACCTCTCAGCATCATAGGGTGTAATGGTGCGCCTACTTGCATTCTAGCAATGATGCTGTGTGACCTGCACAGAGTCATATGTTGCTAGGACACTAGCAGCTGGGCTGCACAGTGGCATTGGTTGCTAGGACACAGGCGAGCGCAGCATAAGAACCAATGACACTTTAAAGTCAACAGCATCTTAGCAACCTATGTGGACTGCACAGCATCAATGGTTGCTAAGATGTTGATGACCTCACAGCATCATGGGGTGTTATGGTGCACCCGGTGCACCCACCTACATTCTAGCAATGATGCTGTACGTGAAACATGACAGCAGTGGATGCTAGGGCACAGACAGAGGATTGGCGGGTGGTAGAACTGTCCAAATCATTCACCTGTTTGGTGAACTGCGGACAGCTTGGGTTAGGACTGAACCCATGGTCAACCTGAAGCTCATCCGTAGTCCTCAGAACAATGTAACTGATTAAAAATGCAACAGAGGCAGGGAACATAGGAAGTTATAAGCGGACACAATTTCTGGCAGGATCAGCAGGTATTTTTGGCACCTATCAAAGAGATATAACAAATCCCGTTAATGGTATATTTACCAGATCGAATGGGACTAATAAAGAGTTCATTGTAAGGGTTTCCATACTGTTTAATCCTAACAGCTCCACCATTTATATACATAGATAAGCTTTTGTTTAGACCAAGCTATTACAATATAACAATTACTAATATATTTAGTATTCGGCTTTGTCTGTTACCATATTGTCTTTTCTAGATAGCGAAAATATATTATTTGTTCATTTGTCAACAAATGACTCTGTACATGTCATCCTAGCATAGCCTGGAGCTTAAAAAAAAAAAGAAAAAGGCAGAAATGTGCAGATGTCCATAAACCGCAGAACTTCAAGTTCCTGTTTGTTACACAGGGGCTTCCACAGGCAAAGTCTAGCAGAATGATCATTTTGAGAGAGAGACACAAAGGGCTGTGAACATCCTTCCTGGATAGAGAGAGCCATGAAATCGGTCGCTTTGTTGCTTGCCTTGTGTTTCTCTGGGGCTGCAAGCCTTCGAATTTGCTCCTTTAATGTCCAAATTTTTGGAGAGGCCAAGGGCTCCAAGAAAGAAGTGATGACTGTGCTACAGAAGGTCAGTTCCATCTTACACACCTCTTACTTTGTGCATTGACTGCTTGATTTTCACCGACAGTCTGACCAGCTCTAGTTAGTAACAGATACAAAGATAGCTTGCAGGATGTATTGAAGAGATCTTATAGCATGTTGCAAAATCTTCGATGATCATTCATGTGACACTTTTGTTCCCCATGGTCCCTGTTTGAGTTGTAATGTAGTCACCACTCCAAACTTGCTCCTGTGATGAACTACAATCTCACGTTTAGTGTACTAATTTGTAAGTTATTTGAAGTTATAGTCTATCATGGGGGTGAGCTTGGAGAGGTGGCTACTTTACAATGCACACACGGACCATGGGGAACAAAAGTAGTCACCCTCCGGAAGGAAGGAAAGTGTCAGCACCAATTCAGAGATGATTTGAGGATCTACAGTCGAGTGATACACAAATAAGGTACATTTTGCCTAATAGTGAAGGTACTAGAATGCATTTTTAAGGTTTAACTCCTGAGTTTAGTATCACTTTAAAGTAAACTCGTCATGAGAGAAAAATGGGGGCTGCCATTGCTGGTCTGCTTTTGAAAAAGCTTAATGCTTGGCTGTTATGCTGACCTTCTGGTTTCAATATTTTGAGTCACTGGACTGTAACAAGTATGCAGCTCAGTAACATCAGAAAGAGGTGAGAAGTCCTTGTCTGCATACGTAAGCTGGCCATAGACATTAGAACAGGGGTCCCCAAACTTTTTAAACAGTCTGTCCTCCAGACTTAGGGTGGCCAGGTTAGGGTCAGTAGGAGTAGAAAATGTCCTAGCGTCAGTTGCCAGAGGGAGTAAACAAAGCTGCAGGTTTTGTTGTTCAATCAAATACAAAAATGCACCAGGGTTGGTTGTCAGTAGGAGTAAAAAAATGACCAAGTGCCTGTAGGTATTGCTAGGAGGAATATTGCCCCATTGTTGGTGCCAGTGGAAGGAATCACGCCCCCATAGTTGTAAGTGGGATGAATTATGGCCCATCGTTCATGTCAGTGTGAGGATTGTGTCAGTGGAAGAAATATTGCTTCATCATTGGCGTCAGTGGGAATAGTGCCCCATTGCACCATTGGGAGGAATAGTACCCTAAGGGCCAGATAAAGGCAAGCAAATGGCCACAACTGAACAATCCAGCCCTATAACAACGTCCTCTGGGCAAATTTCTCTCCTTAGCATAAGCACGCTAGTCGCATGTGCAATTCTGTACTTACACAGTCAGTGAGGAAGGAGAGTTGTGCACAGTCCAGGCATCAGGGAAATTAATATATTTTTATTTTATTTCATGTCAGGTTTTCTTTAAAGATCACCCCCGTTCCAACAGGAATGGATCCTTATACAACAGGAATGGATCCTTATACAACATATGCATGTCAAAACTATTTGGTACTTTATTATTATTGGATTAAAACTTTCTTTCACATCTGGAGGATATAATGGATTTTTTTAAATATTTGGAACACTATACTGTATAATATTAGGACACAGCTGGTAAATATTACGCAGTAGCAGCTATGTTTGGGCCTTTTCACCCATTGGGTCCAGGAACAGTTGCTTCCTTTGCAACCTATGTAGTTACACCTTGGAACCAGCACATGCATAGAAGCTTCATACATGTCCAACACACTGTCTCCCAGATGGTGATTGTGGTCATGCTGCTTGTCATAAAAATCTGTCTCTTATGCCTCATAACATGGGAATTGTTTAATGTGAGCTTGTAAAAGCTGGTCTGAAAAGCATAAAACTCAGCAAGCATTTACAATGTAGTTAACAAGATTTGGGCAGATTTCTTGAGACAATTACCTCCAGGCTGGGCGTGCTGGATGCAGATCTGAATTATGTCCTTAACTCTGGCCAGTCTTTTA